TTGTATTAAGTTTTGAAAACTTTATTTTAACTGACCATTTTCCTTGTCTACTATATAGTAAGCATTTACCTTACATGCCACTGAGCTTCCCGGAATTTGATTAAACGTGTTAGTAAATCTATAATAAACTCACAGAGTGTAAAGGTAAAAATAAAGCATGCTGCAGCTGTCTCAAACTGTACCAGTGATGCTTCACTTCAAACTGCAGCCTTAAATGGTTTGCAAGGAAGAATCTAACTGGGAAAAGCTATTCACCTGTCCCAAAAGTTATGTATTTGGCTATTATCAAGACTTTTGTGTTACTTATATTCATAGTTCAAGTAATATTTTGATTATGGTCTGAATATAACAATGCCACTATAATTTATATATACCGTATAGGGATTGATTCAGTCATATATGTTCATAAGTGTAATATAGTAATTTATTAATATATTTGTCATACATCTAGAGTCTTTGTAAAAGGTACATGTCATATTCTTTCTTGCCAGCTTTAATCTATTTACAAGAAATAGTAGTGGGAGTGGCTCATCAACCTTGAACTATCAAAATGTTATGAAGCAAAACACTAGAAAGAAACCACTAAAATAGATTTTTTTCTCATATATTTAATATTTTTCACTGTGTTAAGATTCATCTTTCCTTGTCATCTAATTTCCACAAAATTTTAGTACTTTTGTAGATCACAATAAACCTTATTTTTCTACAGTATAACAGACAGGCATGCAAAACTAAGTGTGAACAGTTAAAATAAATAAAATAATAATCCTTCTGTCTCACTCTTGATTACATCTGATGTCAGTAGGCATAATAATTAGTGAGCATATAAAAGTTTCATTTGTTTATTTTAGCTATTAAAACAGCAAATAATTTTGCAGTTCAGTACTTTTCATATGCTAAAACAAAAATCCAAGGATTACTTTTGAATTTGATCCTGTATTTCTTTACTGAATTGAAGAACCATTATGAAATAAGGGGCATTTGAAACTACTTTCTTTAACACTTTGCAAACATAACTGTAGTATCAAGATTGATTTTCCAGAAGATATTGACTTCTATCTTTGCTATCACAACTTAAAATATTGAATAATTTAACCTATATTGTTTTAAAATCCTCAAATAAATAGAACATCCCTTTCAGTATGTGCTTATTGATTATGCCTACTGACATCAAATGCCAAATTTTTATAAATGTATAGTTGTGGACCCTGCAAAGCCCCAGGCCAAAGGCAACTTCTGGGCGGTGGACATGAGCCTGATTTAGGCAGAGGTGCTATGGCCACAAAACACAGCGCTGTCTGTGCAGGCGCTGGCAGAACTGATGTGCGCGCAGGGCCTTTGCCAAGGACCTGGGCCCCTACTTACTGCATGGTCAGTCCAGCCCGCCGCTGCTACCTAGCAAGGTCTTCAGCGTCAAGTCTCTGCTAGGGGACTCTGGGGAGGTGGTACCCTGGTCAGGGCTGGGGCCACAGAGAAGCCTAGCTCCTGCAGGCATGGGGAGCAATGGGGAGGAGGTGGTGCCCACCTTACCCACCTTCCTCTGAGAGGCCTCTGTGGCCCCTCTGCCTCCTTCTCAGCCCCATAAGAGTTGAGGGGGAGGCTTCCCAGCGGGGAGCCATGAGGCCCTCAACCCTCTCCCCAGAGGATAGGGCCTGGTCTTTCCACTTACTGCGGGGTACCTCAGTTCCTAGGGTGCTGTCCAGTGGGGGACACAAGACCTCCCTCTGGGGAATGCTGGCCACTTCCTACTTGCCTATCTACACTCCCAATGTGGAAATGCCATTGGCACCACAACCCACCTCCTGTCCCCAGTGTCCACTGTCAACCAGCTTTGCCTACTAGGGGGTGGCCTCTGAAACCTGAGGGCCCACAGGGCTGCTCTGGGATCTAGATGCCCTCTTCCAGGATGTGCCACTGAACAAAAGTATCTATGACTTTTGGGTCAGCCATCCTTGGGGCCTGGCAACCCCCGCCCCAGGCTGGCTGCTTTCTTGGTGCAGTCTGTGAGGCTCCTAAGGAAGGGGTTGCTCCACCCTCCTTCTCCCACCCCCAGCTTGTTTATAGGAAGCCAAGGCCAGGGGAGTGTCTGTGACCACAGCAGCCTCAAAACACCAGGCAGCAGCATTGCTGAGAGTATATGGTATTTACTGGACTACCCCATGCGTGACTATGGCCACGCTGGGCATGACCCTGGTCCTGGTCAGTCGTGCCTCTGTTTCCCCTACACTAAGAGGCAAGGCTGGAAGCACAGAGCTGAGCCTGCAATAGCCCTTTCTTGTCCCCTCTTCTCAGTCCATCAGCCAACCATCTGTCACCAGGAGTCACCTCTTGTCCGGTGCTCCAGGCTGGGGGAGGGAAAGCCTAAAGGTGGATCCAGCCTGAAGACCTGCTCTCTCTCATCTGTCTCGGAAGGAGGTAGCACCTTTTTTGGTAAAGGGGTTAGGGAGTAGACTGGACGCTTCATGGTCTTGGTGGTGAGGAAGATAACAGTAAAGGAATTTACAACTTTAAAAAAAGTAGAAAATAATAAGGTACTTACACATGATAGGAACTAAAAAGTTTGCTGCTTATTACAACTTATATGTAAATATATTCTATCATTATAATTAATTAGCTGTGTTCATATTTTAACCATGAACCTGAGTAAAAAGAATTATAAAAATTATGCAGATGTTAGTTGCTAAAAAATAAAGAAATAAGAAACAGTAATATATTAAGAACCATCATTCCTTGTAGTGTTAGCTATAAAGGCAGGGGATATTCACAGCTGAAGAGCCTGCAACCCTTGTTCACAGAATTTTGATGTTTTTATGCTGATGTCATTTTATTCTTTATCATTCCAAACTGTCCTCTCTCAGGATTTTACCACAGGATTGACGATGGAAGCAAAATAACTCTGTGTGTGTGTGTGTGTGTGTGTGTGTGTGTGTGTGTGTGTGTATGCTATATGTTTGTCTATGTGTCTATGAGGATATGTAGACAGAAGAATGCATATGAAGTGATAGTCTACAAATGTTAGAAGAGAACATGTGTCCCTTCTCACATCTTATTATTTCTCTCTATTCTTCCTAATTATTCTGAGAGGATCAAATATGTACCACATGTGACAAATCACTGACATACAGTATGAGATTACAAGAAAAGTAGCTCTTCATGGAAAACTTGTTTAACTATTAGCTCTAGTGCCTAAATTTACATAATTCACTTATATACAATAAAGTCTCAGTTTATACGGGTTTTAAACTACAAAGAAGGGAAAGAAAGATGAAAACAGAAAAGTGCTTAGAGAAAATAAATTTATCACTAAGAAGTTTATTTATACTCCTTTTAGGTCCAACCCTCTTCCTACCACCTTGACTAAATATGAAAATTCATGTGAATCAAGGAAGGAAAGAATCTTCTACCTTTTGCTTCCTGTCACAATATAGTCAATGCTAATTTGTTGAGTTGCCATTTTCCCCACACAGTAACAATGGTTCCAATACACTACTAACATGTGGTTCCCCACTATTCTCCTTGTATAAAATCATAATCCTTTGTTGTCGTTGTTTTCCTATTCTTTCAAAAAGAAATCATGTAACCAAATTTTATAGGAAGATAAATTTTTGAAGACTCTTACTTCTAAAATTTTAGAAGAATGAAAATGAACCCACAAGCTATTATATGCAATTGGTTAGTAATACAAATTATATTAACTAGTAATACTTTAAAGCACAAAGCTCAAGGTAATTAGCTCTGTAGTGAATATAAATAAAAATTACTTCAAATTGTTTTTAGTGAATAAGGTGAAAAAATCCTTAGTTAAGTCTTATTTATCACATTCTTCACTCAATTCAATAGTTTCTAAAACATTTTATCTTATTAAGAATTCAATAAAAAGGAATCTTTAAGAATACTTCTTAGCCCTTGATCTTAAGCAGCTCAATATGGCTACGTTTTTGAGCTACGTTTATAATTCTTCCCTAAATTTTAAAGAACTTTATATTCTGTTAGAATCAGATGCTGAGAACACCAAAAGTAAAGATAAAACATTTTCTACCAATATCTTTATTAGTTGAAATTGCTCATATTAGATTATCAGAGTATGAAATTATTAAATAACAGCAGGATGATTACTTTTAATTTGCTTCAAGAAACAAGGAAGAATCTTCAAATATAATTCATGGTACATTATCAAAATGTGCACTAACATCAGACTTTTAGAGTATTAGGAAAGTGTTTGTTCCTATTTTTAACACTTATATTTATTGGACCTCTCATCAACCCCACAATTCCTTCAATTGTAATAAAGATTTAGGTTACATAACTATAACTATATGAAACTTTTACTTCTGAAAACTAGTAAAGAACTAATACAAAATATGCTTTGTCTATAATCAATCTGCTTTTGTTTATACAGCACTTGGACGTCTGGGGTTTCTTCCCTTTCAGCAGGGTATTTGTCTTTTAAGAAACACAAAAACACTACTGGTGACTTAAACAAAATTGAGATAAATGCCTTACAACTCACATAATGTAATTAGTGATTTTTATTTTGTTACCACATCCACTACACCCCCATATATTTTGTTACCACATCCACTACCCCCCCTACACCCCCCATACCCAACCATGTTGATTTATTTATATAGCTGTCACACTACAATGACATTGTTGAGTAGTCCCAACACAGACTGTCCTGCAAAGCCTAAAATATTCACTATGTGGCCCTTTACAGAATACACTTTCTGATGTTGGACTAAAGGAAGGGAACTTAATCATATTAGAGGAAACTACTACCAATGTGACTCAGAGCGATCTGTAAAATTGTGACTCGGGTTATAAGCTGTATCTGATAGTAGTCAATACTAAACATTCTGTTGGCAATATGACTTAGTAGTTGATAAATACTTAACCCACTGTCACCTAAACTGTATTACAGAAAAAATATTCAGGAAGCTAGTTGCATTTTTATATCATAAATAAAGATCCAGTTTATATAAACAGTACTGCCAACTCACCTGATTCTACCCCTGGGGCGCTCAGATTGCTCTGACATAAAGCTTGTGCTGCTGAGGCGTGAGGCACTGCTGGTTCGGGAAATGGCGGAAACATCACTGACATCACTATCTGATGATTTGGCAGAGACGTTATCACAGCTTCTGTACTGATCTTTATGTATGTTATACTAAAGATTAAAAACAAGAAAGTGTGAGCTCTATCATTAGATCATGGAAACGACATAGATGGTAAGATGAACGACTACTTAGCCCACACCAAATAAAAGTGTACCTTTGTAAAAGTAGGTGTAGAATCTAAAATAATCCAAATGCTAACATGAATTCCAATATAAAAACAATAACATCTTTAAGTGGTAAGAGATGGCTTATGAAGACTGAAATATAAATTAAACACAATAATGAAATGCTTGAATGGAAAATTCATTATTTGTACATACTTAGAACCTCAAAAGTATATTATTCATGTTTTTTCTAGTACATATGTTTCTCTTTTTTGTTTTCATTTTCATTCTTGTTCATTTTATTCACCTTCTACTCTAGTCAAAGTACAGGCTGAACATTCATAATAAAAAAATTCAAAATCTGAAGTGCTCCCAAATCCAAAACTTTTTGAGCACTGACATGATGCGCAACATAAATGATCATTGGAACATTTTGGATTTTCAGATTAGGATGCTCAACTGGAAAATACATAATGTATACAGTACAAATATATCAAAATATAAAAAATATTCAAAATATGAAACACCCCTGGTCCCCAGCATTTTGGGTAAGGGACACTTGACCTGTATAGACTGATTCCACCTGTATAGACTTTTTGATTCTAAATTATTCAGTTTACTTAAATACTTTCTAAGACATTATAGCGTCTCTAAAATTTCTTTAAAATAGATTAACTTTTCAAAAACAAGGGCTGATATAAATTGAGTAAAAAGGCAGTGACTAGTCTTTACCTTTTTACTATGGCTTCATTAGACAGTTTCAGATTTAACCTATTAGTATCAAAAGTAGAACACTGGATCCCTGTTAAATTTTCATTGTACATTATATCTTATATTCAAAAATACCTTTAAATTTGTCTCTGATATTCATTTCCTACAATTTTAGGAATCATTAAGTAAGAGATTAAAATGTGCAACGTTGCCAAAGCAGTTAATCTACTCTTATTTCTATTTCACTGTCTTACTGTGATGAATCACACAGTGAATAGCTTATGTATTACATAGTATTTTTATATATGTGTTTCAGTTGTAATAAATATTTAGGTTACATAACTATAAATAACTTAAAGATATCTAAAATGTAAGTAGTGCTCTTAGACACTGGTAGGTAAGATACTATAATTTCTCCTGTAAAACAAAGTAACATATGGATATTTGTTTCTTAGAAAGCAATTTAATTTTCGATTTATTAGAAATCGGGTATGAAAATATCAAATGTTTATTAAACCTGCAGAAAAAGCCATCTATCCTTTGTGATATTCCATGTCAGGAATTTTAATGAATTTGAACTGTCTTGCTAAAACACTAAATTAACTGATGCTATAGCCTGGTTCTATATGTACTAAAAAGAGGATTAGATAATAACATTAAAAAAATTATCCTAGAGGGAGGTCTGTTTATTTAATAATTTCTTATAAGAGAGTAGGTTAGGACCAAGACATTTAAATGTGAGTTTTCTTGTTTTTAGTGTTTTTTGTTTTTTTTTTTCTGGAGACGGAGTCTCTCTCTTTTGCCTACGCTGGAGTGCCATGGCACGTTCTCAGCTCACTGCAACCTCCACTTCCTGGATTCAAACAATTCTCCTGCATCAGTTTCTTGAGTAGCTGGGACTATAGGCACATGCCATTATGCTTGGCTAATTTTTTGTATTTTAGTAGAGATGGGGTTTCACCATGTTACTCAGGCTGGTCTTGAACTCCTGAGCTCAGGCAATCCGCTGGATGCGAGTTTTATTTCATCACCTCTCATGTGTATGTGTTGGTAAAAGAATTTCATATCAGGCATGAAAACACTTCCTAATGTATAGGATATCTATGCAATTATTTTTCCCAAGGATTTTTCATAATTGTGTGATTTATCCTTCAAAGTCATATGCCAAATTAGAATCCAAAGGAAATTCATATATGTTAAAGTATCCAAACTGAGCTATTACTACTTATATTACTTTGTTTGATCTGAAAGTAATGCGATTTAAGATAATGTATTGAAAGCAATGTGACAGTATGTTTTACCAGCAAATTCAGTCATTTAATACCATGATTCTGACTGACTGACACAATTCATTTTAATAAGTTCTGTTTTTGATTTAGAGTATATATGCTAAAAACTCAATATGTTCACAGAGTAGAACCTGAATTTAACACTGTTGCTGGGTTACAAACACAACTCCTATATTATTGGTTTTTTTAAACACTGTGCTAAAAGAGAGATGCTATGTAATTATTGTTTTCAAATGTATTGGAATGATACCTTGCCCATGAGAGAATATGCAATATTCTTTGTTCTGGTTGTTAGCATTGTGCTGACACCCACAACAAATGCTCCCCTTATTTGATATTTGACAATATTAAGCAGTATACACTAAAGCATAAAGTTATGTGAGTATATATGAAAATATTTTTTCAACTGAAGAAATCTTTCACTTAGGCCATCTTTTCTTCAACCTTGTATACAGACCTTTGTTATTACAGAAAATAGACAAAAAGGGATTTCAAAATTCTTATGTCATAATAAATTTTTCTATATTACGATAAAGAACAATCTATCATTCTGACATTACACCACAGTTTTACTCACATTGGTTATTTGAAGAAAGTGAAATACTTTTATATTCACTTTTAACTGTTAAATTTACTTTTTCCAAAAATATGTTAACATTTTAATTGCTCTGAATTTCATCAGGCACGATCTGTTAAATTTCTAATGTAACAATTTAATATTTTAATGGAAACACATAAATTATATTTTGAGGAACATAATTCCTCAGGAAGAATTTCTACCAATCCTACAGAGGGGAAATAAATCATTGATGTGAGAGGAATGATAAAATACTACTATTTTTAGAAGTAAGTAATAACTAATAACAAACACTCTTCGACTACCTACCAAATCCATCACATCACTTTTGGTTGCTGTTCCTGCGTTACAGAAACATAAACACTCTTTAAATTGTGAGTGCCTAAATGTGAATTCGCCTCTAATTATGAATTTCACTTCATCATTAAGGCATGCAACTCTGTATAACACCAATAAAAAAACAGAATGGTGACACATTTCAAGGATATGTAAGCAGCGTTGCTGTGCTTTTTCAAAAGCAAAGTTAGTGCTAATTCCTTACTCAGGATGGATGTTAGGGTCATTTAATCTTCTAAAAGTGATATTGGTTTCAAGAAGCATCTCAGGAATTATAGTTGGCTGACAATGTTTTGCCCTGAAAAAAATCCAGTTCTACTAGTGGTTGGTTAAAAGTATTTTGAGAATAGTTAACTAACTTCTTCTTGGCATAAATTTCACCTAAGGTTTGTTGCTTTATCCAAAATGTCAAATGGATTAAGATACTAAAAAAGAGCGAATAAAAGAATAAAGTCCAAAATTCAATCTTCATAACATTTGTGTCAATATTGGCTCTTAATTATAGCCATAAAAATATATCTTTGTAAAATAGTTACAAAATATTTGAAGTAAAAGAAAAAAATGAAAATGATAATTTCTCAAGTGTATGTGAAAGGTTTGAATTAATAAAAACAGCTACACTGAAAACAAAAAAATACATTGTGTTAGTATATAATATAAATATTAGAGATGTGGAGAATATTTTATCTTCTACTTGGCATATAAGAAAAGGCTAATCATTTATTTTATCTTATATAATTTCCTATCCTATATTCTTACAAGTTAGGAGCCACAGTACTGTACCTGAAAGTAATAGGTTTTAAAATATTCAAACGCAATGAGAGAGAGGAAAAGAAAAAGGGTGACTGTGCAAAGGAGGGAGGAAAGATAGAACATGTTAATTTAACTGTATGTAAATCGAAAGCCAGATTGAAACCTTTGAATCAATCTAGAGTAATGTGTTCATTTGAATGATATAAGTAGAACAAGTCATACCCTAAGTCCCAAATCCATTGTTTTAGGCCTCTTTGCTATACAGAGGCTCTACTAATTTTAACACAAATTTTAATAAATTACCTCTTTGCTTCTGAGCCTCAGTTTTCATAAATTTTGTAAATAAGTGGAGTAGAAGATTTTGAGGTATTTTCAAGTTTTAAATGTTATGAGCCAGAGAATTTAGAATCTGCCCAACAAGGTAAACCTACTGCTAACAAGATATACCTACTTTGGTTTACTATGACTCTTAGTGGTGGTTTAGACTTCTGAGTACTTCACTTTCTAGAGTTTTTGGATTGACGAATTAATGATTAGAGTCCCAGCTCAGGATGATACAGAAAGGCTTTCAGTATTTAGTTGCTTCTTTTTTTGTTTCCTATACTGGCTCTACCTCTCCTTGCTGTTCTATTTGACCTAATCTTTGGACATAAAGCTAAGAAACTGATAAAAATTTCCAGCTTTAAAGGAGCATTTCCAGTTTAAAGAAACATTCAGAATTCTGCATCCAACTATAAAGGGAAAACAAAACCCCGAATTACCCTGCCTTCTAATTCTCATTGCATTTGTAGTAAGAAAACAAAAATGATGGTATCTATGAAGAAGACAGACAAGTAGGCTGATTAGGTGATAATACCATAAATAACAAGTTGCAGAGAAGATAAACCTGTACAGAGCTGAAATAGGCAACACTATGGGACATCAAGTTATTTTGCTTACCATTTTTTTGGTAATACCCTTATGGAGTTGGGTATCCCTGAATCACAGTGACCCTCTGCATTGTCTCATTTGGAAACCCTTCTGCATCTAACCTAACACGTAAAGTGATAGCATGTATCAAACATACATAACTCTATAGTAGTCTTGGTGATAAATCATATTTTGTAGCCACCTCTTTTTTTTTAATTAGTCATAGAAATCTGGATAGATAATAAACCACTTCTGCTGCTTAAAAATAAGTAGGTTTTTCCAGGTCAATATTTCAAGCTAATAATACTAACTTAGTGTAGTTTTATTTACTTTTGATTTCTAATAGGTTATTACCTCCAAAAGAGTTTGTAGATATCAAATTATAACAAAGGTCAATCTATAATGGCCACTGTTACTTTTGTAGTATTCTAAAAAGAAAAAAGGCTTTTAAATAAGTCAGATAATATATGTAAAATTACTTCATGAAGAACAAAAATCTATGCTATTTTAATTAAAATTATCAGATATTAGCAGTTTATAAACTCCTTAGTGTTTCCTTAGAACATATTATTGAAATAAAAATTAAATGCTTATCAGCACTTAACGTTGTGTAAATTTCAGCTTCTAGAAGTTTGAAATCAGTTACTTTTCTTACTAAAGACAGGGCAATAGGAAATCTCATGTTACATAATTTTTATCATTCACAAATATCAATAGTCAAATATCAATCCAAAGTAGTATTTAAGACTATAAATATATATCTTAATACCTTAATTGCAATATTTGAATGATGTTCAAGCAACAAAATGGCTTCATATATCTTGCTTATTTATGTGAATTTGACAAATGCTAATCAATCATTAAGTGATTTTAAGATCAAATATTTACATATTTTTAGAAAAAATCAAATCCAAGTTAATATTTCAATAAAGTTATATCATATGAAAATATCAAGAGGAAAGAAGTTTTTCAGGCTTTGGTAGAAATTATGATGCAAGACTATCTTTTAAAGATACTTTTTTTTTTAGATGGAGTCTTACCCTGTCACCCAGGTTGGAGTGTAGTGGCATGATCTTGGCTCACTGCAACCTCCACCTCCCAGGTTCAAGGGATTCTCTTGCCTCAACCTCCTATGCAGCTGGGATTATAGGCACACACTACCATGCCTGGCTAATTTCTGTATTTTTTAGTAGAGGCGGGGTTTAACCATGTTGGCCAGGCTAGTCTCGAACTTCTGATCTTACATGATCTGCCCGCCTTGGCCTCCCAAACTGCTGGGATTACAGGTGTGAGCCACCGTGTCCGGCCCAATTGTATAAGAAAAGAAAATTATATACCTTTTCTTTTATAATTTGGTGCTTGCTAATCCTGCCTGGTACACACTCTACACATTTTTAAAAGGGAAAGTATTGGTTGGATACTACTAATTTTACCTTGGAATATTGCTCGCGATCAAGTTCTTGACTAGAACCAGACCCTGTTGTCTGCTTAAATCGATGCACTTTCATTTTCATCTGTCTTGTTCGCTCCTCCACTACTAAGCTTGCTGCAAAAACACATAATGGAAGCCTATTAAAACACGTGAAGCACCTCTTAAAAACTGAATGGTTTAAGATTTCAATGCTTTTGAAATGACTTCAATTAAATAAAATTTAGAAATAACACATGAGCAGTAAATTAAACAAAATGCGGAATATACAGTACTAGCAACTGTTAATCTAAAGATGAACATGATTCAAGTTACACAGAATGGGAAACATAAATGTTAGTAACAAAAGATAAATACTCTATTTCTTGATTTTATATGAAATATTTTCAATTCCCTTCATAAATGATTATGTGAAATCAAATTTAATTGTGAAAACGTTTTCAATTTAAACAACTGTTTGTCACATGTACACTTATAGAGAAAAAAATATGCATACTTAACACATCACACGTATATGCACATGCTTACATGCATGCACACACCCAGTTAACACCCTTGGTTAAGAGTAGTCACCTAAAAATTGTTTTAATTATTAAGTATCTACTTTATTGAGGCATTCTTATAAATCATTAATTTCTGTCAGTGGCTTCTCATGAGTATTTGCCAGTCTTTAAAACGAACTTATTAAAAGATTTTCTATTCCTGATGGCTATATCTGAACCACATAAATGAAATTCATCATTTTTGAAAATGAATACATGACTTTTAGCCCTTTAATTTATAATATGTAAATAAATATATTTTCCTTAAGCTTTTATTAATCTCCTTCGTAGCAAAGGAGGGCAAGAATTGCAGCCTTTGACAAAGTATGAATTATTCTAAGTTAGAATCCATCATCAGCAAAATCACTGAAAAACCCTGCCTTTAAATTTTTCATTTTTACAAATGAAGGAGAAAAAAACAGCTAAGGTACAGACATGTGTAGGGTAAACAACTCAAAAGATTATACCTATGTTGTACGAGAACTATGTTTACTTTATACAACTTTTGCCAACTTCCCAGACAACTTAACCTGTGCAACAAGTGTTCAGATTTTTAAGTTGTAGGGCTGTGTGTGTGTGTGCTCATGTGTGCATTTGTGTGTGTGGAAAATTGTTTATTGGTGACTGATATACTGGGAGCTTCTGCCAAGAGACTAACGTTTAGAAATTAATGGCAATGTCAATATGTCTGATTGACTTGGCTGATGATTTTATCTCTTATAAAGAGTTCATAAAGGCACTTGCTAACAAATTTTTTTTATTGCAATTACTAAATGTGGCCTATTATCCTTTATTATAAAACACCAACACACACTTTAAAAAAGAAGTCAATCTGTAACTTTTATTGTGTGTTCAAGTACAGACTAATTGCACAAGAGATAATAAAATTTGGAATTTGTGGCTAAGTGTTTTAATCATACTTTTAGCACTAAATTATAAAATGTTTTCCTTTGTTTAAATTCAGTTAATTAGATAACTAATCTCAAATCCCCAACAACCCTTAGTTATGCCAGCTAAGCAATGATTCACTCCTGCTTTAAAAATGTTGACTTCAGAGCTTGAGAAATGCGGTTGAGAAATTTATTACATGACAACATATAAGGAGTCAAAAAGAGTATTATACAGTAAAATGCTATGTAAGAGTAATTAGAAACTCAGAAATGTGAGTTATATTTACAGAAAGACATATGCAATATAGAAAATGTGAAAATATCTGCTCTCTGTCTTTTGCCTATGGCATGAGTACTTCAGGGTACATGCCCAATCATTTGCTTTGAGTTTTGAGTAAGTCAAATGGACTGCAAATTTAGTTCTTTTCTATGATTAAAGCTTAAAGCAACTCAAAACAATCTCAATTAATAATAAAAACAGACTTAAATGGTGTTAGCTTAACTATTCTGAAAATGCTATTAACTTTATTCTAAAAAATGTTGTCATTGATTAGTCCACAGCTTTGCAAACTTTACTTTTAGTGTCATGTAATTTTCAGGGTAGACTGTTACTTAGACACTGATAATTATATCCCAACAGCTATTGGCCTGAAGCAGTATGACACAGATCTAGGGACTGAACCTTACTAGGACAACATTTCATTTCTCTAAACATTAATAGGATTACTTAGCTTACGCTATAGTTGCATTTAAATCTTTATTTGCAAATGTAAACTAAATCATAAAAAGACAGTGGTAACATAACTAAAATGAATCTAAAAATGGTTCCAAATGATTTCATTTTGCCTCCTCAAATCATTGCTATATTTACTCCCAATGAAATTAAAACTGACCTTATTTAATCTGTGAAAGCAAAAAAAAAAAAAAATCTCCAAATTAACATTATGATGCAAAATAATGAGTAGACTCCCTTGACTCTCCAACAAAGACACAGTTGCTATGCTATCCTCACTGCTTGCTCTAGGATTCCAGCAACAGAATCAAAATGCCAATAGTTTATCATTTATTTACTCTTATCAAAAAGCCAGATAATTACATAATATCATATTTTTGTAGTACTTTTCATTATTTCCTAAGGCATGTGAGTTAGTGCATATTCAGAAATAACTGTTTATACAAGTTATTGTGCTTCAGTAAAAGTTTTTTCATAATCACTGAAAAACCTTCAGGGTAAATGCAGAAATTCTTTAACTTTGCATGTTTTCCATTTTTATTTTTCAACTATGTATCTATAATAAAATGACATTATTTCTGGATTACAGATATGTCAAGCCAAATATTAAGACAAATATAAGAAGATAGAATAATTATCATAAATTTGAACCAGAAGGCATGATTCCTATAAGTTATGTGATTTGTGTAGCAAATAGTAGTAATGATTAAAAACTAATTGAATCCTTGAAATGTGACTTTCTCTCTACTATTTTAGCATAAGTAAAATTAACTGTAACCTAGAGAGCTCAAATATCTTCCTTTAAAAAAAGATTACTATCATTTAAAATTTTTATATCATTTTAACAATTTAAAACCCAACAGCAAAACTAAAATATTAAATAAAATATTTTCCAATTATCCCACAAATCTTAGCATTAAATTCATATTTTAGGAACATTCTGAATGTTAATAGTATTGTAAACTAACAAAACCATTAAAAGGCCAGTTGCTATTTCTTCATAGAAAATATAAAACTGGGAGGCTATAGAATTTTTATTTTTAAAAATGTCATAAATGCCACATAGTAAAGAGCTAAAAAATACCTCTCATTTTCTGCAATAAATACACTTATCATGCAATTTCATTTAGTCTTTTAATGAAAATTTAGCTTATGTATAATAAAGTAAAAAGATAGGGATATTTACTATAGACTATATTTCAGCATTACTTATAGCTTTTGTGATTACATATTAAAATATATGTCTCCTAGTTCCTCATATGTAATATTGCAATTTTATAAAAATGCTTTTTTGCCCCAGGCACTGAAGGATTGAAATCTTTCAGTATAAGGTACAAACTAAATTATGTGTCTTACGTTTTAAAAAATGATACTTTCTAAAAAGCATATATTAGTTTACAAAAAGGTATTTATTGAACAAGATCCATTTTCTTTATTCCAGCTTTATATACATTGTTGTTTCCAAACTATGGCTTTTTTCATATTAATCTATGTATGTCACAAATCAATTCAATGTTAAAATTATGAAAGTATAAAACTGGAACTTATTTTTAAGAGTATAGTGAAAACCATACTTGTGAAATCATTTCTTGTTTTCTAAAACTCAACAAGAAAAAACCTGGAGTATGTAAGATAAGAGAAGTAAATATCATTTACAAATTACTGTAATTATTACAATCTTCATATGTAAAGTATTAGTATTAAAAATAAAGAAATTAAAATAACTACTACTCTTTTCACATGCCTTGCTAAGAATTCCTAATTTAGTGTTGTCAATGAGCTTTAACAAATCTCTGAAGAAACTAAAATCATTTGATAATCTCGTTTGTCCTATATGCATTTTTCCAGATCTATCCCTTTCCTATTATTAAAAGGCCTATGACTTTAAAAATACCCTTAAAAATCCTTAATAAATCTTCCCTAATCAATCATTTAAAAATTTCTATAAAATAACTTCCTTCAAAGAGATAATGTAACTTTCTAGGAAACTTCTTTGACTTATCACATATTTGTAATTTGCTTTAAAATACTGTAAACACTATAGTTACATATAATTTAGGACCATTATAATTTAAACTTGCATTCATATATTTAAAATATTATTTATAAATTTAATTTATAGAAAAATAAATTTGCTTGGATCTCAAAATTCCTTAAATCTTTCACATTTCTCTCTATGCAACTTGAAATTAACATGAACATGAAATTTTAAATGTTTGTGTTTGTAGGCAGAATTAATTTATATTAATATATTGTTAAACCTCCTAATATTTTTGAGCATTAGGTGAAATATGACTGTAAAAGGACAGAAAGAAGTAGAACATTTATATTATTAAATACATTGATGTAAAAATTATTTTTTAACAAGTTTAGCTAATACATGTATAAAAGTTGACACATGATATCATCTGGACAGGATATTTAAACCTGTCTAGTTAACTATGATGTGCTATTGTATTTTATGAATAAAAAAATTAGTATCTCTGCTTCCTTGCTGTATAGCAACACAATCAGAGTTCCATGACAGTGCAGTCCCATTCTTGTTCCAGAACATCTCTCAGGAAGAGCAATGATAACGACTGCATATTTAGAAGTTGTCAGGTAGAATGAAGAACATAAATGAAACACTTCCTATGTCTCAGTTATTGACTGCAGTGAAAAAAAAAAGCTGAGATTAACAAGATGAAAAAGATTTAGCTATATCGAGACTGAAAAAGAAGACAAGATCTTAAATGTTTAATATATAAATTAGGTCTTAAAATGTATCAAAAAAGATAGATAGTCTGAAATTTGAAAATTCAAAAATACAATCCTTGTGTCTGTTGAGTTTTTTCGACTTTAGAGAAATAGGGATTGTTTATATGGATAAGCATTCTCCATATACCTGGAATCAAAGTGGCAAAATAGTAAGAATCAAAGAATGGGAATGACTAGGCATAGATTACAGTCCTA